ATCTTTGCTCCCCTTCCAACGTCGACCAAGTATCAGTGTTGCTCACCAACCAATGCTAGTCCTCAACACATCTTTTGCACGCGAGTTGAGTTCTTCAGGGGGCCGGCAGCTTAGTCAACCAATTCTTTCTTTTTTTCACGTGTTTTTGTTTGAGGCCTGGATCCCCAGTTGCTCTTTTTTGCCAGCTACTTTTGCCAAATTATGGGCTACCAGTGGGTAACTTGATCCAGGTCGGTCCTATCCATGCTTTCTGCGAAGTGGACCATGAGCTTGTTTGCAGAGCGGTCGTGCTCCATACGGGGCGTGTCAGAAGCCCACAGCTATGCCAATAGTCATGGTGTCATGCTGGCGGTGGATCCGGCTTCTTTTGCTGTTCGACTCTCGGGGCGACTTCGGGTCAAGGGCGTTGCATGGACAACCCAGATTGTAAGCAAAACGTTCAAAATGGACGGTGGAACCCGAGCAAGCCCTCTCCCCAGAGGCTCCAATTCGATGGATTTAGAGCCTTACAACCTGGTTTTGAGACACCCAACCACCAATTCCCGGGGTGTCGAATTGAGGGGTCGGTTCTTCCACTGAAAGCCGAAGCCAGGAGCCTCTGGGTCGAAGAAGTTCAGATTTCCTCCACTCGGTTTCAAAGCGCGTTGCTCCAGGCGCAGTCGCTTGACAATCAGATGCGCCACACTTGCGAGGCGGGGGGGTTTCCTCAGAAGAAATCCAGTATTGTCATGGTTGTGGTTGGGAAACATTTTGCATTTGTGCTTATTGTGGTTTAGTGGTTGAAATCCCCACTTTACTGCTAAAATTTAAATCTTTGCTTCCCTTCCAACGTCGACCAAGATGTTGCTTGAACTCCAAGCAAGGCCGGTACGTGGTTGTTGATCGATGTTCTCCTTTGGCGCCCAAAGACCATGGCTAGCTTTATTCACGGGGGAAATATCATATGTTTGGTGGTTTGCCAACCAATGGTCATCCCATGTAAAGGACCTTTTGATCAACCTCCATATGGCTTACCCACAGCCGCATGTCGCATTTTCAGTCCATTTGTGGACCTGGTTTGGTTGGCTGACAGTGATGTGCGAAGGAACGAGAACGCAGATCGAAAGCTTTGCTGGCTGCTCCGGCAATCATTGCAGCATGCATTGCTAAATGCCTGCTGTTTCCATTGTTTGACAGTCACGGCTTTGAATGTCACAATCCCAGTTGCCCAGTGGATTCCGCCCCTTTTTTCAACTGTTGTTTTCGGGCAGGGTTCCCCTTTGAACTCAATCATCCAAAAAGGATGCCCTATTTTTTCCATGGCCACAGCAATGATTCACGAGTGCAACTCAAGCGCTTCGAGGCCCTTTCCCTTTGCAAAGCTGAAGCAAGGCCGGAGTTCGCGTGTGTTGAGCGTCGACGCAATTCTCCGAGTCGTGATGTTGCGCGCCCACACTCTACCTTGAGACATCTTGAGTCCAAAGAAGTTTCAAGTATCGCAAGCTAGCCGAGGTGCAAAACCATGTGCGGAAATCTGGCAATCAAAAACAGCCATGGAGACTGCCGATGGATCACTTTGCCGTTTCTTTCTGTGGATGGACGAAATCCTGCACCACCTAAGAAACCCAGGAATGAAAATTCCCTGCACATACCAACAAACAATGGTTTCCCATGTTTTTCAGGTCGTTCAGGATTTTGTCCATCCACAGTATGGCAGAGCGTGTTTGGGAATACGTCCTTCTGCTAGGCCCGGAAGCTACCAGAAGGTGGAGCGCCGAGTGTTAGGGCAGGGACTGCAGGCCTGGTGGCAGTTGGCTGGGCTCCAGACACATGGACTGTGAGTCCCTTTGTGGGTGGACGAAATCCAGAAATCGCACCACCTAAGAAGCCCTGGAATGATGAGTCCCCTGTAAATACCAACAAACAATGGTTCCCCATGGTTTTCCAGTGGTGCCTAAGCGGATTTCGCGTCCATCCACGGTATGCCAAGTTTGGAGATTTTTCTGGCAGCATAGCTTTGTCAAGCAGCATGCTGGGATCCTCCTCTTGAAACAAGCTGCGTCCAGCGGGGGGTCTTCTTGCCACCTTTTGTGGAAAATTGATCGACCCCCGAAGGAGTCCTTAAGGGAGTCGCCCATTGTCTGACAAAAGGTGGCAAAAAGACCCCGCCGGTTGCGTCAGCGCCAAGAGATCCTGCTTTGGCATGAAGGGAAGGGCATGGCGTTTGCATGTCAGCCATGCGCTATCCAGATTTCATAGATGTTCATGGGTTTGAAAAGCAACTTGTCCTGTTTCAGCGATCTCAGCAAGTATCTCAAGTACCTGTATAAGGGGTTTCTGACATCGCCGGAGATTGGTATCATGTTGACCCCATATCAATCAACCCCTGTTTATTAATTGGGGGGTGTCCCTGGGTTTAGTAGGGAATCATCACTTTTGGAGGGCCCCCCACCCCCTTATTAATATACAGGAGTTCCCCCTACTCAAAATACCCGCTTTGCTCAGGGTAGTTTTGGGAAAACCCGGTTTGTTTCATGGTAAATACCTGTTTTTTTAGTAGAGGGTCGACATGATACCCTGAAAAAAGAGGGTATTTGGAGTAGGGGGTTGATTAATAACATGGGGTCAACATTACCATGTATACGACATGTCTGACATCGCCAGAGATTCACTCAGAGATGCGACTGCCACGGGGCGCTATGCAGGCCTGGGCTGCTGTGAGCGACGCGCAGCTTGCTCCTTCCTTGGACAGTGACCGAATTCATCGATGCAGTGACTGGGTCAAGGGATTTGCGACGCTGGACATACAAACCTTGGTGGCTCCCAGCCATCCCCTTAGCCTTTTGGTTTTTTGGTGTTCAGTGGTAGCTTCCATTTCACCGTTAAAAGTTATCTTTTAGCGGGGGATCTGAGGGCAGCCCAGAAACATGCAGTTTGATTTATGCAGTTCTCTTATCACATGTTCCCATGTGATTTCAGAGTTTCGACGCATGGCCTTTTACTCACAGAAGGCCCCAGCTGGCATGATCTCAGGCTGGTTGCTGGAAGACATGTTCTATACACACCCCGTCAAGAGATCATCCATGGATAAATGAACACATGTTGTCCAAAGAGTTAGAGCATCAGTGGCTTTCCTTTTCGTTTCCATTTTGAACCTACCAAAGGGGTACCAACTCCAAACAGACACACCCACTTAGTATTGTCTGGCTTTTGTTCTACTTGGAGAGCATCCTTTCAGGTATCCTTCACGATGGTTTGGGATTTGAACTTCGAACCCCAGGGTAAATGGGTTTCCCCCTCCGTTTCACCACCACCGATTCGGCTCCAAACCACCAAACGAGGGAAGCGGCTGGGATCTGTTCGAGCTACCCTTTTCAGTCGCTTTGCAGTGAAACGTGCCAACTCCACCCATCTTTTGGGGTCCCATTTACCCCCTGTCAAGTTCCATGGCTGATGTTTTTTATCTCCGCTGCGACACCAACCGCGCGACACGTCAACCGCGACACGTCGCAGCGGTGCCCGGCCGAAGGCCTGCGGGCTGCAGCTGGAAGAGGCCTGGACTTCACTGCGCCAAGCCGCGGAGGAGCTGAAGCAGGACGAGCGACGCGAAACCGCGATGACTCGACCCAGTGGGGTGTCTGTCCCTCCCCCGTTTTCCCCTGAAAACTAAAACCTGGCATCGCCATGACTCGAAGTGCCTGTCATTTTCCTTCAAGACAGGACAGGTCTCCCCGCGCGAAGCCTTGACCAGAGCATAGGGTTGGTGACGATGGGCTTCACCCTAAGTGGTAATTATTGGCTGACAGAGCCGGGCGCGGGGGGGGGGGGGGTTGGGGACCGAAAAAGGCCCCCTTTCGAAGCACTCAAAGTGCTGCCTCAAAGGAGGCAGTTCGTATTCCGTAAAAACGAAAAACAAGTAAATGCCAAGCCTGGAGGGGCACATGGCGGACCGTAAACTAATAATTTATAAAACAAAGTCCAGCAGATATTCTACGTTGTTCGCAGTGTTTATGTTTGTTGCGACCCCATTACGGCCGGCTTTTTTGCAGTTTTGGACGGGCCAACCGGATAGCTGGAGATATAATTGCAGAACAAAGCACACATGCTTTGTTTCTCTGGGGAATTCGAACCTCTATAACACATACGTACCTGCAAATCATAAAGCATATGTGAAATCGTTGTTAAACAGGAACACGTCCTGCAGGGCTTATGTTGTCCTGACCCCCGTCCCTTCTTTTAGAATCAAGGTCACCCCATGATGTTGGGCGCATTCTTGAGCGATACAAGCAAGCATGCCACTTGAGACAGCGACCTGAGCGAACTCTTGCATACCCGGCGAAGTAGACGATATTGGATGACCAGGGGAAACACCATGCAAGACGACGTGGTCGGCTCAGCTGTGCTTGACCTTGGACATTCTTCATGGCGAGTGGAAATCGTGAACGGTGGAAGGGTGTGCGTGTGGTTGTCGCAGTATGAAGAGAGGCTTGCCACTTGAGCAAACCAATTCGGGTTCCTTTCAGCCATCCTTGCCTTCTCTGTTCTTGGCATGTGTGTGTGTGTGAGTGTTTTGTTTTTTTTGGCGTGGTTTTCTTTTTGAGTGTAATGGGTCTCTTCATGTTTAGTGGGGGGCTGCAAAAACCACAGTTGTTTTTTTTTTTTTTTTTTTTGCTCCCATACCAAGAGTAGACATAGAGATGTGGTGCTGGTCAAAAGAAGGGCGGCCATGCGTGTTATTTCTGGGAGCCTGGGGCAGATCAAACTCACTGGCCTCCGGTTCCACGGCTCTGCGCCCATTCGGTGCGTTCCTCTGAGGCGGTTTGTACATGGGATTACACGACTTGGGAAATGACCCAGGGCGGGTCAAAAGCAGCGTTGTTTTTTTTTTTAATCCGGACACGTGCCATGGGGTCGATTCCCAGCGGGCGTGTTCCCAAATTGTAAGACAAAAAAAACCCGATTCCTCTTCGCCGATCTGGGCTCACCCGAAGGGCTCCGCTGTTGCGAGAAGCTCTTTCGCCATGCCTTCCGTGCAGGTGCATTTGCCCAGTGGGAGGAGCTGTTCCGTGGAGCAGTCGAGCATCCGGCAACTGAAGGCTGAGGTGCAGCAGCACTTCCAGCGCCGCTTCCTTCGGTTCGCCTTCAAAGGGCGGCTGCTGGATCCATCAGCTTCCTTGAGCGAAGTTGGTGTGCGAGATGGGGACAGCATTGATGCAATCTCGCAGTCCCTAAGGCTGGCGTCCACGGATGTTGGAGTCGCACTGTATGTTGAAGGAGGCGCGATGGGCGAATTCATTTTTAAGTTTTTCTAGCTTTGGCGGGCCGGGTGGCAATGGTCCGAGCCGCGTGGCCTGGTCGGTCGGTCGGTCAGCTTTGTGGGTTGGTGAGTGGAACGCCGCTTGGCCCAACCCACAGCTCAAAGGGTTACGCGCATTACTGTCATTGGAGGGCCATGTGTTCAGTTTGTGGTTAAACTCAAAGCACGCCCTATCCCTAGACCCACCCTAAACGAACCCTAAACCACGCCCAAAGCGAATTGCCGAACCAACCTAAACCAGGCAAATCAAAACAGCCTAAACCACAGCTAAACCCACCCTAAACCCGTCCCCAAGAAGCCACCAACCCAAAGCCCATGCTAAGCCAGAGCTAAACCATCCCAAGTAAATCCCTAGACCACTCTAAACCAACCCTAAGCCAGCCCTAAACCCACCTTAAACAAACCCTATACCCCTAATAAACCCACCCTCAACGAGCACTAAACCATCCCCCAAACCACGCTAAATTTAAATCAGCTCGAAACAAACCCTAAGCAAGCCCTAGCAACCCTACACCCACCCGAAAAGGGAACACACACACACACACACCTTCCGCCAGGCATGATGCTTACCTGGGGCCGCGGCGGGGTGCGAGAGCAGTGGGTACGAGCCCAGCGGATCCAAGCAACTGATTATGCTTTTGCTGCCATCCTGGACGATGGCCGTGTGATAACTTGGGGCGATCCTACCGATGGCGGTGACAGCAGCCAGGTGCGAGAGCAGCTGGTGCGAGTCCGGCAGATCCAAGCAACTTTCAGAGCTTTTGCTGCCATTCTAGACGACGGCTCTGTGGTGACTTGGGGCGATCCTGACTATGGCGGTGAGAGCAGCCGGGTACGAGAGCAGCTGGTGCGGGTGCAGCAGATCCAGGGATCGGCTGGTGCTTTCGCTGCCATCCTGGATGACGGATTCGTGGTGACTTGGGGCGAGCCTTTCTATGGTGGTGACAGCAGCGAGGTCCAAGAGCAGTTGGTGGGGGTCCAGCAGATCCGAGCAACTGATGGTGCTTTTGCTGCCATTTTGGCCGACGGCTCTGTGGTGACTTGGGGCAATCCTGAGAATGGCGGGGTCAGTGGCGGGGTGCGAGCTCAGTTGACGCGGGTCCAGCGAATCGAAGCATCTGCTGGTGCTTTTGCTGCCATTTTGGAGGACGGCACTGTGGTGACTTGGGGCGACCCCTGTTCTGGCGCTGACAGCAGCCAGGTGCAAGAGCACTTGGTGCGGGTTCAGCACGTCCAAGCAACTCGCTTGGGTGGCTTTGCTGCCATACGTGTCGACGGCTCTGTGGTGACTTGGGGCGATCGTAGCGCGGGCGGTGACAGCAGCCAAGTGCAAGAGAAATTGGGGCGTGTCCAGCAGGTGCAAGCAACGAAACGTGCCTTTGCTGCCATCCTTGATGATGGCTCTGTGGTGACTTGGGGCGACCCAAAGTATGGCGGTGACAGCAGCCAGGTGCAAGAGCAGTTACTGCAGGTTCAGCAGGTCCATGCAACATGTGGTGCTTTTGTTGCCATCCTGGCCGGAGGCTCTTTCGTGACTTGGGGCGAGGCCTTCTGGGTCGACTGCTTTCATGAGATTCAGCCTTACTTGGACTTGTTGTGAGACCAAATGCCTGGTCAACAGTTGTTGTCGGTTTCACCCTCCTCCCGCAAACATCGCACCTCTAGGATTGTACCTGGAAGATCAGTTCCTCGGAAAAGGAACTCCCTGTGAGGTGGGAGGCGAGGGTAGATGTTTTCCATAGCCACGTTGATTTGAAAACTGATTATCTAGGTTTGCCCTACATGAACTCCCCTGGCCCAAACACTTGGATTTCTGGAGTTTGGTTGGCTACCAGTTGGGGCCCCCAACCTTTTCACAGCGAACACTGTTGGCTTGTTCTGATGGAGATTTAACATGGTTTCACCGTTTCACCACAAGGCAAGCACAAAGCGTTCAGCCTCTGGAACATGCATCCTTTGACAGGGCTCCTTAAAAGATAGATTTTGCCCATTTGAAACATGGCTTTTTCGACCAGAATAAAGGGATCCCGCCATTTACAAGTTGCAATGTTCAGGTGTATAATGCATCCAGATCCCTGTTTGAGATGTGGTTTTCAGTGGTGACTTCTCGCATTCCTCAAAATGGTACGGCCCTGCCCCGTGCCTCGCCGTTGGTAGCTTTGATACCTTGGACGAAATCCAGAAATCGCACCACCTAAGAAACCCTGGTTTCTGATGATTCCCCCGTAAATACCAACAATTAAACCTTCTGGCTTCAACCACCTTGTTTGCTCCAAGTGGTGCGATGTCTGGATTTCGCGAACCCGTCCACAGCAGCACCGGCAATGATTACCGTGCTGGCCCATAGGCTCATCCCCCGAGCAGTTTTGCGTGGAAAGCGTGCGGGGGAATGGGTGTGGCTCAAAATTTAAGAGCGAGGGTTGCGCAGTTTTAGTCTTGGTTCCATTTGTCAAGGGTGCCGTTTTGGTACATGTTTTTGAGCCACAGCCAAATCAAAAGGCCAGAGGTCACGAGGTTTGGAGAAAAAAAAACACGCTCGCTGGTGCTCAGGGAATGAGAAATGGAATGAGGGCCCTCTAAACCATCCAACTGGTGGATGTCTGTAAGCGAATCCCCAAGTTTATTTTTTGCTGAGCACCAGCAAGAAAAAAGAACGGAAAGACCTGATGGTTTTGTGTGGGCCAGGTCTGGCAAGCGAAACACTTTTCTCTGGGCTAGGAGCGGCGTGGCCGAGTGGCCTTACAACGCTGCGTGCGAGAGCTGGCTCAGAAGCTGATTGTACCCCGGCTGCACTCTAGCTCTGCTACGTGTTACAATTGGGCCCCCCCAACCAGGTGTATCTTTGTTTCGCTTTCTGAATCAAAAGCAAGTCCCTTTGCTGACACCTTTCAAGAGGGTCTTTGGCTTTGACCCTTGGGGACTTTCAAAGGGAAACCGAAAGGACATCAGCGGTAAACCGAAAGGACATCAGCCAGCTGCGTTTGACATTCCCCACATCATGTGATTTCTTCAGACGAATTCACTCGCCTGGACTAGGGTCCCCTAAAAACAATGTTTTCCAGTTGCAAGCTGGCGAAGATACTGGCTGATTCAGCGGGGAGACCTTTTGAAACAGATAGTTTTAGTTTTCAGGATTTTCCGGAGCCCGATTTTCAGCAACTTGCCAAGTGAAATTTGTCTTAGGGTGTCATTTTGGACAGTTCCTTGACTGCGACGAAAGAAGAATCAACTAGCCTCCCACAAGAGACTAGGTTCCCTAGTGCCCTTTTCTCCCCTTTTTTGGGGGGAGATTCGGTTCTACTAAAACAGACCAAATTCAAAAAAGTTGGTACCAACTTCTTCTAAGCTCTCTACCCGACCTGGGAAACATGGGGAGTCCTGGAAGGCGATCCCATGCCGCGCACGGGTCGCGGCTCGATCCAAGGCTCTGGATGAGGAGCTGGAGCCGCACGCCCAGATTTGGAGCCCTTGAATCGACTCTGGTAACCTTGTTGCTCCACTTGCTTTTTTGTCAGCTTAAGTTTTTTTGTTTGCAAGTTAAATGTATTGTAGAGTTTTCAGAGAAAATCATGGTTTTGAAAAGGAAGGAAGCAGCAATGACGCTTTGGTTGCCTTGTTTGACGGGAAACCCCGCCTTTTGGGGTTGTTTCAAGGGACCTCCAAAGTGGACTCCAAAGAAAAGCCGCCATGGGTGCGGTCTATGAGGCGTATACTCACTCCCCGAGTTCCTGGACTTTAAACTTTTTGGGAAGACCATTTTAGTGGTGAACAGAAAGTTCGAACTTTTTTTGGCCCATCAACTCAGGAAGTGAGTATATAAATCTGTGTTTGGGCAGGCTTGGGTGCTCTGACGTTAAGCTGCTGAGTTGTTTGGCCAGCAGTCGCATGTAGATGAAACTAGTGATGCGCCTGCCTGGGCAACATGATTGAGGCTGCTCCAACAGCACGACGTTGGCATGGAGGACAGACCGGGAAAAAACAACAAAGCAAAGCATCCGCGAAGTCAAAGAGAGGTGCTTGTCCTGTCAGAGTGGACGTGGCTCTTGTGATGAGTGGACGTGGATCTGGAGTTGGCCCATGCAATCTGTTTCGGCCAGGAAGATGAAAGCACCGAATGAGAGCGGTGAACATCGCCGCTGACAGAAGAATCGCTTGGCTAGAAATGGATCGCATGGGTCGCAGGGAAGGGAATGACGAGTCTGCAAAGTGCATGGTTCTAGTGTCGCGCTTGAGGTTTGGGTTTGGTCCCTTGTGCCCTCTTGGCCACTAGGGTCAAACTGCCAGGGCTCATGCTCCGCGCTTTAACTTGTTCAAGCAAAGTTCAGGCCGCACGTCGCGGGTAACCTGTTGAGAAGCTGGGAGCTTTGCTAGCCTGCAACATCTCAGAAGCAACCAGCAGTCATGGGTTTGCATCCAGCAGGCAATCCTTGGTGTGTTGCCGACCATGCTGGTCGATCCCATCCGGGCAAAGCCGGCAGAGTGCAGCCAAAGATATGCTGCAGGCAGGAGATGCAAAAGTCGATCAGCCAGCGGGGGCTAGAAGGCAAGCTGCTCCAAGTTTTCAGAAAGGTTAACTTTTTATGTCTGTGTCCTTTGGACAACTGAGCCAGAGATGTGCCAGCCAGACCCAGACTTGCAGGGGCACCCAGACTTGCAGAACCTGCACCTAGAACATTGTTGCGGGTTGGTTCTCGGCGTGCGGTCACTGAGAATGGCTGCAGCGAGAGCCCTTTCTGTTTGAGGCCTCAACTACGCAGGTGAGCGGCGTTGTTTTTGGCCGCAAGCTAATGTAGTAATTAAGGAGAGGGACATGATTGAAAATGTGCACCGCGCCACACGCGCGGAAGCATGCGGAAGGCTTCGCGGAAGGGTTTCCTTCGCGGAAGGCTTGTGGAAGCTTTGAATCATTGTTTCAGTGTGCGTGCGTGGAAAAGCACAGAGAAACAATGACAGTAGAAGCAGAAAAGTGCTGCTGCGTACAAGAAGCGCAGCACTTACTAGAAGAGCAGTTGCCAACAGCAAGCCAGGAAGACCAAAACAGCCGGCGGATTTCGCGGAAGGTTTGATGATGCTCCGCGCAAGGGTGGCCCTGTGCTTGCAGGCAAGTGCCCACGCAGCACGCGTAGCCGAATGGAGCCCAAGCCTACACAGGCTACGTCGAAGCGAAACACTACTTTGCTTCCTTACTTACATGACTTTCCTTTCTGCGCCAACACTCGCGGAAGCAAATCTTGTAAAACATGCGCCGCGGAAGGTTTGCGGAAGCAAACAATGAAACACAGGTGCCGCAGAAGTTCGCGGAAGGGACCTCTTGGCCCGCGGCAAGGATGTGGAAGGGTCCGCGGATCAAGTTTGTAGAGAATAAACCTGATGTATACACAAGATATAAATATATTAATATATGTATATATATATAGATATGAGCTGTAGCTATCAACGTATAATATATATATATATATATGGTCACCCCCCCCCCCATGTCTTTCCTGGTTGAAGGTGTCAACTCTACCATATATATATATATATATGTACACACACACACACGTGTGGGAGGTTCTTTACTTGGGCCTGCGTTCGCCTGATGATTTTCGCCAGGTTATGCCGCACCTAGGGTCCTTGCCTGCGATCATCCCAAAGACGGATGGAGAGCGCGCGGCGAGTGGAGGCTCGCCGGCCGGGGGGTGTCTCGGCGTGCTGCGAGGAGCAGCCGAGGTAAACCAAACTTCAACTTCTGGCTTGGCCCTGAGATGGAAAAAAAAGTTAAACCAAACTCCAACTTCTGGCTTCCGAACTCTTCTTTTTCCGGGGGTTTCCTCAAAGCCGGTTCATTCAGACACCCGAAAAAAACTCATCCGGTCATTCAGCCAAGACCCGTCGCCCAAGCGGTTGGCTCCTTCCCACGTCGATGGGCCACAGGTTCCTTTCTGCGTGGGATGTGCTTTGTTGATGTTACCCTCCCGCGTGGAACGTGCCGGGTCCCTTAAGCAACATGGTCCAAACCAAGAGGCTGTGGCTCAAATAAATGTACCAAAACGGCCCCCTTGGTAAATAAAACCGAAAACAAAAACCTGCGTAACCCTAGCTCCTTAACTTTGAGCCATAGCCAAGAAGACCCTTCCACCGAACCAAGAAGAACGTCGAACGGTTCCGAACGGTTCCGAACGGTTCCATGTTGATTGGTGGGACCGAATACGCTATACCCTATTGCAGAAGTCGATGCGTTTGTGTTTCAAAGTGTGTATTCCAGTGAGTTTCGATTTCCGGGAAGTCGGAGCGATGTTGCATCCGGGTTGTGTTTCACATGTTGTTGTTTGGATCTTGCATTGAAATCCCAAGCGAAACCAGGGAAACGTTACGCATGCTTGACGTGCGTCTCCCATTGGGATACGTCCACCAACCACTTTGGAGGTGGGGGCCATATTGTCAAAAATCCTGGCCATAGTGGCTTCTCCTTGGTGCACAAGGAGCCTGTGTAACCCTCCGCTTTTGGAAGCAAGGACCGAACCAAAGGTGGCGTTCCCCATTTGGGGTTGTCTTCATATGGGGAAACCCCTTGAGTCCCCGAAAAACCAGCGCTTTGATTTTTGTGGCACCCTCATGCCCATGTAGTTGAAACCTCGAATGTAGTTCGATCCGGTGAGGACATCCTCGATATTCTTTCATGCAGACTCAGGCATAGGATATGTTTTGTTTCACAAGTCTGAAATCGAGGGCGTGTTGAACACCAAAAGTTGGGATGCGGCTGTGGCTCGCAATTGAAGAGTCTACGCAGGTTTTGGTCTTTGTTTCCACCCACCAAAGGCCTCACGATACCATATATAGTTGGGTGTGCTTCTGGCGCTACCTTTTTCTGTTTGCTGTTTTGAAAGGGAACCAAAAGGAGGACCACCATTTGGGTATGGGTCAAAATTCAAGCACCATGAATCGGACCACAGGCTTTAGTCATTTCCATTTACCAGGGTACCATTTTGGGGTTACCCGATTTTGACCTGCCATTTTGGGGGTCCAAATCCTCCAACAAAACGCCACGGCGCCATGGGAATTTGTCGCGTCCAAGCGTCTGAGCGTCTGAGTGTCCGGAGGCTGCCAGCTCTGGCGGCGGCCATTGCGCGCCGTTGCCTTGAGCATTGAGGGTGCCCCCTGCCCCGACTCAAAAACCCGCTTTTTCTAGGGTATTTGTGGGAAAACCGATCGGTTTTCCATGGCAAATACCTGCTTTTTTAGTAGAGGGTCGACATGATACCCCGAAAAAAGCGGGTATTTGGAGTAGGGGGTCAGTTGATTCTTCAGAAATTATCTCACAATTCGACCGGTTGATTCACATTCCATTCTTTGAGCCATCGTTCTTTTCAAGAACCAGCTGTTTCCCCTGCGTTTTTGATGGCTTCCTGAAAAGAAGGATCCCTGGAAAGAATGGGGAAAGCATTTTGATTGTGGTTCTTTCAAAGGAGCGCCAGGTAGCTACCAAAATACGCTGCAGGGAATCCTACCAACTGATAATACTCGCGGTCGTCAAACAAAAATGCGCGGCGGCATTCTTTCGTTCAGCTCTGACCCAAAGCTGGACTCGGTTGGCTTGCCGGCGGGAAGCTTTTGAGGGACACAGCCCCCTTTTGTCGTCGCGAGCTGAGGCTATCGGTATGGCCGCAAGGCCACGGCAAGGCGGGGGCTTGAGCGACAGGGCTTGGGCGAGAGCGGCACGCGTTCGAGTGGCTGCAACCGCAGAAAATTCGACAGCTGGGACAAACCGCTGGTTTTAGTCTACCTCTCCATTTGCCAGGGCAAACCACTTTGGACCCCGTTTTTTTAGCCACACCCAAGTATTGCAATTCAGGTGCACTTTCAGACTAGGTCCCCCAGTAGTGCCCTTTCACCCTTTTTTGGGGAGGGTCCCCTACTAAAATAGACTGCAGAACAAAAATCGGGTGCCAACTTATTCTAAGCTCTCAAATCTGGAGGACCTAGCAGAGATTTCAGAGATGCCCCAGAAAGTTGCCTTGAGCCTCTCACCTTGGAACTGGGATCCGCCAGCCGACTTCCTCTCTTCACCTGGATGTTCACGGCAGACTTTTCACGGCGGACGCGGTGCTTACATCGCTTCAGGAGGCGGAAATTGGCTGGTCTTGGTTTTCCCCGAAGCCACGTCCCGTTCCAAGAGTCGACACCGACATTCCAAGCAGTTTCGCCTTTTTGCATGCAAAAAAGTGCGGTTTCAATGTAACCCAGCAGTAAATTGGTTTCAATGTGGCCACCAGTAGATTGGTTTCAATGTAACCCAGAAAATTCATCAACTTGAGGGGACATCCGGTGACTGACTGAAGAAGCCTGCTCCAGCCGCCCCGACCCGGCTCCTGCGGGCGCACGCCAGCACTTGCTTTCGACTACTTAAAAAAAAACAAAATGGAAGCCGAGTTTGGAAGGTGCCCGGCAAATCGGATGGCACCACATTCCCAGCTGCCAGGGACCTAAATTTGCGGTTTTTCTTGTTTGTTTCCTCGCGGTTTGCTTGGGAGAGAGAAAACGCGCCACATGCGTCAGGCGGAGTTCAGCTGAGCCGGTGGAGCCTGTTGAGCCGGTGGAGCCTGTTGAGCTGGTGGAGCCAGAGGAGCCTGAGGGCATCCTCAACAAGGCGGCCGACAGGGATAGGGGTACCTTCCCATGTCCATTCTTTTCAGGCATCCGAATCTTTCTAAACAACTTCCAAACACCCAGGGGAAACAGCCTTTCTTTTTCGATGGTTGAAAAGAAGGGAATCGGAATCAACCCCTAGAGGATGGGTTGGTGGGAACCGCATCAGCCATCAGCCATCCGGTGCCTTAGGTTTTGTTTGGGGGTTTTCAGTTGGTTTAGTGGCCTTAGGTTTGTTTTGTTTCCGGTTTTCAGTTGGTTTAGTGGTTGCATTTCGAATTCGCCCCAGTCAAAAGCTTTTATCAGGGGATTTCTTAAGATAGCCTAGTTGTGAGGCGTTGTGTTCAGCTTGGCCCCTTGTTAAAAGCTTGATCCTTTGATTACCTGGCCACTTTCTGGGAAGATAATTGCTTAGCTTCTCAGGCAAAGCTCGTGGGCAGTTGCTTGATTTGGACTTGGTTGAGTGATTGCCGTGGACACAGCAGCTGAGGACAGCCGTGCTTTTGGCGCATCATGAGTCATCCCCTTCGCCGTTGGCCCATCAAAGGTTATAGATATTTCAATCGTGAGAGACGACAGTTGCCCACTTCCGATCAACCACCCAAGCAGTTGCGACAACAGGTGCAGCCAACGCATGTCAAGATGGTTGCTTGTCGTGAATCAAGTAGAGCAACAAAATCGACCAAGATCAGCAACGAGGCTCTCAGCCAACGTTGCATTCGGCTACGCGCCTTGGCTCGATGGCATCTCCAGCCTCGCCCACTGGCCCGTTGGACGAAGAGGCCAGGCCAAGGGCGAAAAATCACTCGGCTTAAAGAGAATGGCTCGGCCGATTGCAAGGCGGGGGTTCCATGTGCAAGCGGGCCGCGAGCCTTTCCTGCCATCACTTTTTCTTGCTGGTGCTCGGTAGGGAACCTGGGAAGGACCCCTATAAAGCATGTTTGGTGGCTTCTTTTATTCGGGAATCCCCGGGTTCATTCCATTTCTCATTCCCTACCTATCGCACCAGCAAGGTTTTGTTGCTGTTTCGTCTCCCCCTGCAGGACCTTGAGAAAGAGATCCTTGCCACAGAGGAGACGGTTCAGGCTGCAAGCGAGTCGTTGCTGTTGGAAGGAACGTGACACACAGAACGCCTGGCAAACGAACAGGGCAAGCCTATGTGCAGATGATGGAATTCCACACAGGGCTGAATTGAGATTCCCGCGCAGCCATTGGAGCGCACCCATTCCTTGCGAGATAGAACCGGAAGGTCGAATGCATTCTGATAGAGCGCCTTGAAACGTCTATCTGAAACCGCCGGGCCTCGGGCCTCACACTTTGCCTTTTTGCGGGGCTTCAACTCAGTGAATATGTTTTCTTCCATTTGCCTAAGACTATAATTGTTATTTTATCCTGTCGGTTTCAATGGCAATCTATCACTACTTTTTTTCTTGTTTTTTTTTTCTGGGGGACTTAAGCTAATGGATATTTTGCTTTCTACATGGATCAGATTGAGAACAGTGACAAGTTCGTAGCCTTGATTTCAAAATGCATGCATGCGGCAAGGTGTGAGTGATGCAGTGAAGCTGCGTGCGAAGCATTTGCGTATCTAGGGTAACACTCGTCAAGAATCAGAGCGAACCGAGGTGGTATTCTTGCCTCGGGTGACGGAAGATCCTGATCACGTGCATGGCTTCCCATTCCATTTGCGATGTTCCCAGCTCAGCGGCTTTGTGGGCCCCAGTTTTTGGTTGCACAATGGAGCCACTTGCCCAAAGCCCGGGTAGACAAAGGTGAGTAAGGGACAACCCCAACCGCAAATGGGTGCCTTAGTTCTTGACCTGGTTCGTCCCGACCATTTTCAGGTCCCAGGTGGCCCATAGCACTCAGGTGGCTTTTGATTCGTGGCTTGGATCGGTTTGGGGATTTTTGAAATGCATGGTAGAGGGTTGGCAGCATTCCACCCAACCTCTAAACCACCAGGCTCCAAACCGCCTCGAGGGAAGCGGACAAATCCGTTTGGTGGCTCCCAGGCATCCGGTTCCTCAGCTTTTTGGGCCTTTTTAGCTGGTTTTGTGGTTGGGTTCCCATTTCACCCACTACTTCTTAGCTTTCAGTTGGTTTGGTGGTTCCCATTTCGCTCACCAGGTATGCTTTCGGCAGGGGATCTGAACAACGGTCTTCGGCTTTCGCCAGGCTCTGCGGCTCTCGCTGCAGCATGCCGAGGCGCGGCTCCGGCAGCTGCGGCAGCTGAGACAGCTGCGGACGAATGAGGTGCGGCTGGGCGCTTGAGTTGACTTAATTGGGCCATAGCTGCGAGTTGTGGGCATTGAAGTGTGGTGATTTGTCTTTTCTAGTTTCGTCCGTTGTGTTGGAACGAAATTGGTTTGCCCATATGGCTTTTGATCAACAATAACTCAAACCTGCGGTGCCCTAGTGGGTTTAATTTTGACCCATATATATATATATATATATTTAGATATACCAAGTTTACGCGCGCATGCAATTTTGGGTGTAGGCGTGCGGAGCCACGTGTTGTCAGAGGTCGCTTTGGTCAAATGCCTGGCCACTAGTTGAGTTTGATCCAGGCCTCACGATATGATTCCCTTAAATGCAAGAGTCACCCGATCTCATGCCTGTGTAATTAACAGGGGGAACCCCTTGCGGTTGCTTTGTAAGGGAAACCAACATGGCAACATGAAACTTACCCTCCCACCTTTTCACATGGAGCCTGACGTTCGTGACCCGGTTCCTTTCAAAGAAGACTGGTCCAAACCAGGAACCCCCCCCAAATTCCTCAGGTTCCATGAGAAGCGGGGAGGGTTGGTTTTCCTTATAGAACCAAAAGGTGTTCCCCAAATAAAGCGCACCCATTAGTCTGAATGCTTCAAAATAACACATTTTTGTCCGGAAATGTGCCTAAATGGGGTCAATACCCAGTGGGTGTATTCCCAGGGTGTAATACAAAAACCCATATAATTCGGTGCCCGTAGATTTTACACGGTTTGCGGGTCCCAACATGTGGAGACCCGTGGCGTGTCCTTTCGAGGCATCGCCGGGCCCTGGCCGCAAACCTGGATACCAGGCGAGAGTTGGGGAGGTGTTTTTTGTCGAAGGCCGGGTGAGTTGTGCGTGTTCATGGGTCCCTATATTTCCCTTTTTGGCGGTTTTACACATCACCTTTTTGGCCCATGAAAGGTGAGTGTCCCTTGGCGGGGGTGATGTTTTAGGGGGGAATATAGGGAGCCCTGGTGTTGTGGCTGGGGCACGGTGTGTTTTCTTCGAAACAAGTCAATTTATATGGTGTACTGTTCTTTTATCGAGGGAACCCGGTTTGAGCCGGTTTATTCTCATGCAGATACACTCCCAAATGCATGAGAATTGGATTGTCAGATTGCTTATCCCACAATGCCCATGATACTCGTAGAATTCTGGTAAATACCCGTGATCTTGCGCGCAGGAAATGCGCGGGGTGTTGTGCTTTTGTGTTGTCAGATCCGGTGCCCATTGGTCGTAGTCTCTTCTTCGCCATATGCGACCCTCCAGAGAGGCAAAAGGACAAGCATTTGTCTTATCAGGGTACCGCTTGTGTGAAGTTCACCTGGGAGCCCAGTTCTTGGAGCCCTAAATGAAATATGTGTTTCCCTTCCAAATTGCAACTTAAAAATGGGTTTGACCCCCAAAATTATGGTGGGTGATATCCCATTTTTATGGGTAGTTTGAGGGTCCAGGTATGTGTTTCCCTTCCAAATTGCAAACTCGTCGGATGCACAAAGGTTTTTCTTTGGATGGAGACCGAACTGGGGCAGACTCGGCAGGAGAAAAGGCTGTTTTTGGGGAGAAGTCTCGTTTGGAGACACGAGCTAGCTTCGCACGAATTCCAGATTGTGATGGTGTTTTGTTGCGGAACTTCAGTTCGAACACCTATCGGGCGGCACAGAAAGGCGAGAGAAAGGCGACAAGTACGGGGGGGGGGGATTGCACAACGTGGGGGGAAAAGCTGTTTTGGGGAAAAGCTGTTGATGGAGACCATGATTATTCAGGGGAGATTTCATGTTGCCTGGGAATGAGTCAATGCGCCGAAACAGTGGCTAGCATGTGGCCTCAAATAAATCAATGCGCGAAAAAAAAAGCGTTCAACAATGAATGGTGTGGCTTGCGTTTTGGGATCGAGGAAGACACTAGGCCCATGCTCAAACATCGGCAAAATGCACTTCTGAGGGACTGGGCAAGCTGGGGAATTGGCTGGCCAAGCAGAGCGTCAACTTGCCGGGAGCCTGGCAGACGAAGCGGTTTTCAAACGGCGATGACATGTATATACTCGGATGCCAAATAGGTTGCTGGGCGGGGTGGTGTAGATTAGTAGTAGCTTGTGGTAGGTGTCCATGGACATTCAGGGTGACAAAGGCCTGGAAGTCAGCCTTCGCCTTCAACATGCACGCAAGCAACTTCTTGTTTCTGTCCCCTTGGAAATCTGTGTCGTTGCTGGTGCCCTGCATCGGCACTGCGCTTGATGCTCTTTTTGGGCCAAGCACGCAGTTCAATGAGTGTCCTCCCAGCTATGGGTCAAATTTCGTCTCTCATTCCGAGACGATTCGACTGACTCCAAGGCGCCCAAGGCGAAGCGGCCAAGGACCTTTTGACCTTGTAGCTTCCCCTTGTTGGATTCCCAGTTTTGGTCATGGCCCTAGAAGGTTCAGCTTTTACACTGGGGGTCCTTTGGGCCACTGAGCTGAAGAAAAAACTGTGGCTGATGAAAGGAGAGGATCTCTAGCAGCTTCCTTCGGCCTCAGGATGTCTCTGCAGGCTTTGCACCGGTTCGCGACGTTCATGTGCGCGAGAGTTGTATAGAACTGAGGGATCTGAGTAATTGTCGTGCTCTCTTGCATGCACGTTGGTTGGGCAGGGCCTTCAGTTCTGGTGAAATGCAACACGTGGTGTGGTTGACCAGCTCGTGCTGGCAATCAAACATCGGTACACCTGCTTGATTCATGATTGGGACTGCTTAGGGGAATCCTTGTC